CTGGAGCCCAGGGGGCGGCCACGGTGCCAACCCACCTCCTCCAGGGCCTTCCTCTCTTGCGCTGCCTCTCTCCTTGCCAAACATGATGTCCTTCTCCAGGGACTGGCAGGTCAGCAGCCACCGATGGCCATGACTGGGCGGAGGGGACCGGTAAAAAGTGGATGGCTGCCATCTGCCAGCCCCGCCAGCCAACAGCAAATGCAAGTGCAGCGTGCTTCCAGCTGTCTGATACTGCCAGGCAGACATGAGGGTTGGAATCAACTCAACTGTAACTGTCTTTACTTATTTTTTATTGTTCATATTTCGGCTGTAGTGGTGTAAATTGGGACTCCTATCATTTGCATATGAGAATAACACAGAAGCAAACTGATTGCCCTCCATTCTATTCCAACTCCCAGCGGCCCTACAGGAGAAAGCAGAACTCCCCCGCGGGGGTTCCACAGCTTGATAAGAGGAGAGAACCGCTTTGCTCTCCCGGGAACAGGGATGGGTTCTAACTGCCGACCTTGCCTTTGGTAGCTGGCGTGGCACCCACTACCCCACCACAGGGCTGTCCAGCTGATAACGGGAGAGTTAAAATTTGCACTTTCTTTACTTTCACAATAAAATCAATGCTCGTTTTTTTTTAAAAGCATTAATACCTCTTAAAGGGCATCTTCCTAAGAGGTTTGTCCATTTTACTTTGCATGAGACGAATTAAAAGACGATGCTGCTAAGTGCCATCAAGTCAGCTCCAACCCATGGCGCCCCTGTGCACACCAGAAGGGAACCCTGCAGGGGCCTGCACCATCCTCACCATCTTCTCACCTGGAGAAGACTACACTGGGCTCTAACATTCTCTCTCCACACGGAGAATGTGCTGGTTCAGCAGCTACTTAGAATACAGTATTTGCCAGAGAAACAACCTGTAAGGAAAAAACTCAAGCTGGCCTCCTTTAGACGGCATGCCTTTCAAGTCAGCCAACCCATTTCCTGATACGGCAGTGCCACCTGTCTCCATCAGATGGCGGTGCCCATCCTCTGTGACCCTTGGTAAAGAGGTGCCAGATTTACTCTACAGATCCAGGGTCTTCAGTGAGGGCATCTCCCTGGGGGAATGTGGAATGTTGTGGAGGTGTCTTTTGTTTGTTGTTTAAGAGTTGTTGTTGTTGTTACAAAGCCCTGGTGACATCATGGTTATGCACTGGACAGCTAACCTCACGGTCAGCAGGAGAAAGAGGCGGCTTTCTATTCCTGTTAAAGAGTTACAGCCTTGGAAATGGACAGGGCAGTTTCTAAAGGTTGTTATGAGTCAGAATCGCCTCTGTGGCAGCGGCTTTGTTGTTTTAATTTTGGTTGTTGTTATTAGGTTAAGGTGACCAGATTTTAACATTGGTAAAGAGGGGCACCATTGACCGGGGTGGGGTGGGGGTGAGGGGTGGGTTCTTGATTAAAAATTTGGTCTATATCATTTTGCCGCCACTATAAAATATAAATAATACGAGTACTGTCTGCTAAATTCAAGAAAATTTATGAAAGAAATAAATAAATTACCTAAATTATCTGAATAGCTGATTTGTTGACATCACTTGTTTAACTAGCACTAGCATGCAGTACGATGTGTATCGTCTGAGAGACAGTTACAAAATGTTTTTGTCGTTGCCAATGCCAAAAAATGCCATTGTTCATTAAGTCCAAACAATGGTGGTTGAATTCTAGCAACTGATCAACAATGAGAACTTTAATAAGCAGTTCTCGATAAGCAGTTCTCAACAATTATTTGTTATTATTAAAGTTTAACATTATAAAATTAACAAAAATAATATAAAACTCATATTGTGGCGAAATAGCCACATGGCAGCCGAAAACCGTATATTCCCTTCCCGTTCTCCCGCCGTTCCCTAGCTTGTGCATTCTTTCCAAAAATCAGGACTTTTTAAAAACGCCACGGGACGCGGGACAAATTGTTAAAAAGCAGGACGTCTGGTCACCTTATATTAGGTGCTACTGAGTAGGTTCCACCTCCTGAGGGCCTTCTACTGTGCTCTCTCTCAGAGTGAGGGACGGTAGCGGCCGGGCACCATCTAGTGCGCCTGGTCTCCAGGTCATGGAGGCTGAGGCTCATGTGGTCCACTAGTCCTAATTGGTTCCCTGTGCCCTTGACTTTCTTCACTTCGCTTCGCTTTGCTTTGGGTGGAGGGGTACCAAGACTTACACCTTAGCTCACTGGTTCTCAACCTGTGGGTCACAACCCCTTGGGGGGTCGAATGACACTTTCATAGGGCCTCCCAGATTCATAACAGTAGCAAAATTACAGTGATGAAGTAGCAAAGAAAGTAACTATGGTTGGGCGTTAACAACATGAGGAACTGTATTAAAGGATCAAGGCATTAGGAAGGTTGGGAGCCACTGAGGTAAAGGAAACAGTCAAGTACAAAGGCAGTAGATTCAAAAGGGGCTGGGCCGGTTTGAGGAACGGAAAGAAGATCAACAAGTAACGGTGGATGGCTGAGGGTGCTGGCCACTTTCTAGAAGTGTGATCCGATTTGATCGCACCTCCCTGGGAGGTGCAACCTCATCCTGAAAATGGGCGTAGCAGCTGCCTTCCTGCTTCGGTGGGATTTTGAAACTCACACGAGTAACATGGTGAGATTGCTTAGCAATTGTCACAGCTGTTGCCCTCCCCTGCAGCACTTTACATCAGCAGGCACAGATATGTGACAAAGGAGACGAGACGCCCACTCCAAGACTCGTGCCCCACAGCATGCTGCCCTTCATTCATGAGCTCACCTAGCACAGTGCCTGGCTGGCACACAGTTGGTTGTAAGACACTCACGGTATCGATGAAAGCTACAAGAAGATGAACTGCAAAATTAAACACAAAGGCAACGACTACTTTGACAACTCAAAACCAGGTTCGCAGCCGTTGAGAGATCCCATGACCTCAGAGCAACCTTGTGGGCAGAGAAGAACCGTTCCTGTGGGTTGCAGAGATGCAAATCTTTATGGGAGCAGACAGCCTCATCTTTCTCCCTTGGAGTGGCTGATGGGTTCAAACCACTGGTCTTGTTGCAAACAGCTCAATATGTGGCCGACTAGGCCACCAGGGGCTCCCTGTTTTGAACAGGACTCAGCTGTTTTGAACCCTTCACAAGTTACCCCAGGGCAGGAAACACCTGTGCTTCCACCCAAGACAATTCTTCTAAAAAATCACCCCTCAACATCCGTGTCCGTCAGGAATGCTTCCCCTAACTTAACAGAGTACGTTTCCTCTGCCAGCCAGCGTGCAGACAATAACTCTGACTCAGCCCTCCTCCTCGGAGCACGAATTGGGAGTCATTGGTGAGTACTAATTTGGTGGTATGTATGCGACTTATGTCAGCTGATGTCTTCACCTACTTTCTACATCGGATTAAATTCCTTTCGGGAGGGGATCAAACGCTGGGGGCAGATCTCATGCCCACTTTACCTCTCCTATCTGTGAGAAATCGGTTAAGTATCCTAAACTACTCGGAAGAATGACGGCGAATATCAGAGTAGGTTGTTAGGAGAGGCCAGGCCCTGGAACATGATGTCAGGCTGAGAAAAGTCGAGGGTCAGAGAAACACATGGAGACCCTCGACGGGATGGACCGACACAGTGGCTGCCCGCATGGGCTCAGACCTCCCAGAAGTGGTGAGGCTGGTGGAGGGGGGGCCGGGGGTGGTGGGGCAGGGGGCAGCATTTTGTCCTGCTGTGCACAGGTCATTCTGAACTGGAACTGGGCTGACGGCATCCAACGAGCAGCAACACCGACGTTGAGTTTTTCCACTTGTTGGTTACCAGGCTCCCCTCTATCTGTTTCTCTCACACTTGATGCAATGTAGGGAACACAACGCCATTAGGAACGCTAGTCTCAGCTTCATGTCAGGCGGTGCTCACCACAGCCAGACAAGAAGAAACCACGTGACCAGCCTGCGAGTGGACAGTCTACGTGTTCGCAGGAAAGAATCAAAGGGGCTGCATTTGGAGCTGAGAGCTATCTCTGGAGATGTGGCGATGTCGGCTTCTGGCTCAAGGATTCTGAGGCATCCCACCAGCAAGCTGGTGGGCGAGGCACGGGGGTAATTTATAGTATATACGTATATACTAGGGATCTTCCTGGAAGATGGGAATCAGCTCAACTTGTGATAAACAGAAAACCATGGCCTTAAGTGACCTTGACCCGTTGTCCCAGATAACAGTATTTTCCTGAGAAAACACAGGTGGAGACCTCACTCCCTCCTGTCTGAGGCATTAACCCCAGACTCCTCCTTGAGAGCCATGGTGTGACCAACCTCCAAGTTGGTCTGCTGAGGTCGGCAGTTCAAAACCACCAACCATGCCAAGGGAGAACAATGAAGCTTTCCACTCCGGTAAAGAGTGACAATCTCGGAAACTCACAGGGGGCAGTTCTACCCTGTCGAACAGGGTCACTATGAGTCAGAATGGACTCGATGTCCAGGAGTTTTTTTGGCACCTTTAGGGCCAAGTTCCTTTCAGGAAAGATGAAGCTCCCTCCATTGTATGTGCCAGGTGCCCACTCCCCTGAGCCCTAGGTACCCCCGGCAACAGCCTGCCCGCAAGCCTTTATGTCTCTAGTGGGAAGGCTCTTAACGTTTTACCCAGGAGGAGGAAAAAAAAATGCTTCCTGAGCCCCAGTGAGACCCCACTGCTATACAAAAAAACTGTCAGGCACACCAGGCACCAGGAGCATGCCAGGCACTTGAAGATCAGGGCCCGGGTGGTGACAACAGCAGTGGAAAGATGACGGACAGGGAGCAGGAATAGTTTCTGATCCCAGATCTCCCGCTCACCAGCTGTGTGCTCCCAGGCAAGCCCTGTGGCTTTGGAAAGTCGCAGTTAGCAAGCCTTACACAGGTTTCGGCACCGCCCTAACGCTGCTGTGGGAATTTACCGAGACGGTGTGCATCGCTCTAAAATAAAACCCCACACAGCAGGGCGACGCGCACGCACTGCTCTTTGGCTTCGGAAACACACACCTGGGGATGCTCGTGAGATAGGTCATGACATTCTGGAACTCCGTGTCTGGGATGTCGCTGAAAGCCGGGTAGTCTGGAAAGGTGATGACTGGGCATCCATCTTGTCCCCGTCCACCTGGGAAGAAACGCAAAGGCAGTTACTTTACTTTGCTCAAGGGCGGCTGTTTGCCACTGGGTCTTCGGCAGTATGGGAGACTCATTCTTAACAAACAGTAACAAGTTCTGATGCTACACTGGCTTCGGCGGTGCTTCCACACTGACACGGGCTAGGACGCAGGTCCTGGCAAAGGGCTTCCAAAAGTCAGTCAACAAAACCCCGGTGGGTCACAATGGTCAGACTGCAAGGTGTGTGGCAGCCAGAGACAGGTGAGTCCCAACCGAGAGGGTTCTCCATTTTGAAAGTGTGTGGGAGGAAACTAGAGCGTGTGAGGAACGAAAAACCACTCATCATTTTAGAACCATTGGGCAAGCACTAAAATCTTGTGGCATGTTTCCATCTAAACTTTATTTTATACATAGTTGATACCACTTTGAACAAACAGACTTGCTTTTATTCTAACACTGTAAGTTAAATAGTTGTATACATGATGCAAGCAGCCCGGGTGGCACAGTGGTTAGGGGCTTGGCGATGGACTGAAAGGTTGGCAGTTCAAACCCCCCAGGCTCCTTTTGGGGACCGATGTGGTCATCTGATTCCAGGAAGGACTTCGCAGCCTTGGAAACCCTAAGGGGCTGTTCTACTTCACCCTGCAGGGTCACTGCAAGTTGGAATTGATCGATGGTAATGGACATACATTACATAGTCATTATTTGATGTATTCCCATAATACACATCATAACATACCATTCAGGTACATGCCCTACTTTCTTAACCATTTCTTTCCTGGGCATTTTGCCCCTCCCTCACTATGCCACCTTGTAAACATTCTGGAGGGAGCTGTCTCTATTCTCCCTGCCCCTTTGTGAACAAAAGCCCAGAATGAGGCCTGGTCCTTTTTAGTTCATACATCATACAAATAAATGATCTTCTGAACTATGCATATGATGCTTATTTTTCATATTTAAAAAATGTGGAGCTGAATGTCCATGTATTGGCTCAGGTGATCTTGACCTCATTGGCTCGTGTTCTGGCTCAGGGTGCAGACAGGAATGCTGACGCGCTGGGGGGAAGGCGACTGCATATCTTGCTGATTTCTCAGGAAGGGGTCCAGTCCCGGAAATGGCACCCATGGAGCCTGAGCGGGCGCTGGCACACAGAGGCCCACACCTTTGACACATGACCAACACACGTCTGCTCCCTGAAGGCCCCGTGCATTCTCCTGGCGGCTCACTGGGCCGTGAGGGTCTTCAGGCTTCATTTTCATGACGATTTCAACACAGCAGCAAAGGGAATGTTGCCGTCTGCTCGTTAGGGTTGCTACGTGCCCATGAGTTCACTTTTCAGTTCGCCGTGGCCCCATGTGACAGAGCACAACTTCCCCAGAGCAGTTTCCAGTCTGTCACCCTCTTGGGAACAGATTGCCAGGTCTTCTCCCCACCCCCACCCCCACCACGAAGAGTCTCTGGGTGAATTTGAACCACCAGCCTTTTGGTTCGGGGCTGAATGTTTAACCACTGTACCACCAGGGATGCCCCGGGATCTCCGTGCAACTCCTAATGTTCCTGAAAGAATCGTCAACACCTCTCATCTGTTTCTCTACGCAGATCCATCACTTGACTCTCTCCCTCCCGTTTCTATCATCGTCACGGAGATGTAGTCAATTCCTTCATAAAGGCCATCTAGCCATACTCCCTTTTGTGATGTATTGTAAATTCTAGCCTCTGTGCCCGTGGTTATAATCCCATTTTGGAGAGCGTTCTCTGCTATGCTAATGGGCAGGATTAAGGTAGGAATATGTGATTAGGTAACAGGGGCCAAGACATGCTCCTCCTGGCATGCGAGGATGTTGGGAACAGTAAACACTAAACATGAAAAGATGACTTAGATGGGTCGTAATCATGATCCTGGGAGCCACCATACATACTAAGATGTTTGGATTCTGCAGAGCAGTAACATAAGCCCAGAAGTGCATTGTGGGAATCCTGTACCTAGCTGTGAATTGGATCGAAGTAAGGAGAGGACCAGACATGAGGGGGCATGAGGGAACTTTTCCCAGATAAAGGTTCGTTTGTGATAGTTTCCAAAGAAATAGACGAGACATGTTTCAAGAATCAGAAATAGCTAGAGGATGGTGTTACGGCCAGTCAAACGAGGCAGTTGAGGTTTCAAGAGAGAAGGCTGTCCATTTAGTTTTGTCATCTTTACTCTGAAACAAGTGAGAGAACTCAAGTTGAACTAGCCACAACTAAGCAATAAAAGTAAGAGGAAAGCAAGAATTCAAAACATCAACTTCACAGTCCCACAGATGTGTGTGCCAAATTTCTCTTTGCAGTTAGTGGCTATGGAGAGTGAACGCTAACACCAAGACGCGGTGTCCCTGGCAGTTACCTAATCTCTTGTCAACTTGGGCGAAGGGGTGGAGTCCAGCCTGTCAGTCAGGTCATAGCCAGTCATGCCTCTGTGTGGCATGGCCTTCTCCTGAGGATTCTGGGAACTCCTGTCTTCCTGCTTGGAGGCAGGACACACATATGCTCTGCTTTGTCTTTCTGCTGACAAGCCACATGGAGCTATGCTGATGGCAGCCAGACCCCTGCCAGCTCTGAGATGCTTCCACCGCCACTGGATCCACAAGACTTTCCACCCACTGGCCTGTGATCTTCCTGCATTTGACATCCTTGTAGGTGTTGTGTGAGTCTGAAGAGGGCTTTATACAGACTGTTAACAGACATAGGGGCTAATATAGGACTTATGGACTTGATCTGGACTGGGCTGCGATGTTTTCTCAATATTCAATTGCTCTTGTATATAAAGCGCTTTCCTATACATATATATGAGTGTCTATGAATTTGTTTCTCTAGTCTACCCGTACTGACACAGATGGAGTCTGAGAACACTCAGCCCAGTGGGCACACTCAGCAGGCGAGTCACAAACAGCAGCCTTGCTATCTTCAGTATCACCGTCTCCATCACGACTCACTCCACTGCTTTGACTGGCTTCCCAGACCTCTCGCTGCCGGGTCTTAGCCAAATCCCTGCTAGTCTAGTTAAACTCACGTGACCAGCCAATAGACCTACGATTCTACTTCCCTGGTTTCACCTGAACTATTCCCCCTCATCCACCTACGCAATTCCTTTGTGTCCCTTCTTTAAAGCCTCCATCTACGGGGCCAATATGGTCCAGTGAATTATTTAATCTGACCCTGGTAGCCAGAGACTTCAGTTGTAGCCACAGAAGGGTAGTGGTTATGCGTTTGGCTCCCCTCTGCAAAGTCTGAAGTTTGAAAGCACCAGCCGCTTCCTTGGGAGAAAGATTTTCTACTCCTGCAAACAGTTACAGTCTCGGCAACACACACGGGCCATTCTAGCCTGTCCCTTCGGGTCACTGTGAGCCGGCATCAACTCATGACCGTAAGTTTCTTGAGCTGTCCTCTTTGTAACTCCTAGCAAATTACTGGGTGGGACAAATACGGCATATGGAACCCTAACAGGGGGTTGGTCAGTTTTGCCATCCCACTAGACTTGCAATGAGCAAGGACAGAGGAGAGAAAGGGAGAGCTCATGACCACCAAAGAGTCAGGGATGGAGCATGTCCTTTGAACCTGACGTCTCTGCACTGAGAACCTCCTGGATGCAAGAGACAGGCCGCTTTCACACTTTGATGAGCTGGCAAGCAGCCGTGGCACAGAAACAGCAGCAGCAGAACCAGGAGACCAGGGAGAGGCTGACCATCGAATGTGCCCGCAGAGCGAGAAAGCTGAGCACCTTTGGACAGGAGGCTTGCTGGCGGAGTAGGGTGCCTCTGGGCAGTTATTGGCAGAGCTAAAAGGGCTTTGCGACACTCACCGAGCTTGGCAGAGGCGACAAGGCTGAAAAGCCTAGGACCAGATAGAGACGGCTCTGTGGGCGCTGCTAAGAAGAGGCTGTCCTGATCAAACCTGAATCCTGAGTTATTTCTGATCCTGAATCATAACCAGTTACTTTCCCGGTAAACCACATAACCATATTGTGTGTGGGATCTGTGTAGCCGCTGGAAGACATTCTTATGCCACGGCACTGTACTTCTGAACCCAGCTGAGGAGCAGAGTGCTGAAGGAGGGGTGGCTGGTGTCTGGGTTGGTGAAATTCTTGGCTGCTGGAGGCATAGCTGACCTCTGCGTCATAGGACTCACCCCGGGGCTGCTGTTCTTGAGTCTCCTACCTGCTGGAGAAGCCAGAGGAGCTCAGACACTTTTACCGTTTCATTTCACAGCCAGCCTCTGGCTGACATCTGCCCTATTTTCTACCACGTGACACAATACCTTGTTCAATGGCACTGCTTTCTATTTCTGTTGAATATGTATTTCGCATGAGATCTTTGTTTCCCTCTGCTGCTTTATAAACAACTTCGTGGTGGCTGGCCGAGGATGGGCACTCTCCTCAGGCCGCCGAGTCCAACCTTGGGCTGTACCCAGAAGGAAGGTTTAACAAATAGCCCAGTGTCTGCCCAGTCTCCCTATTCATCCGGGTCAGCGAAGTCACTTAATTATTAAGCTGTTCTTAATTCTAATTAAACCACAAACTGAAACGCATCCTTTCTGCCTTTGTCTTCCATGACTCCCTAGTTATTTTCTACCCCGTGGAACTTTCTCAGCTTTCAGGATACACTTTGGCGTCCCATACAACCCGGAGCAGAAAGCATTCTGTTACTGACTCCACAGGCGGTGGGTCCCCTACCCTCGGTGCCTTTCATCACTCGTCATTCTTCCATCTGCCTAGAAAATTCCTCAGCTCCCAAACAACAGGAGGTGCCTGCCTGTGAACACCGAGATCACTATTTGTGTCATCCACGTGAGTATCAGGACACCCCTTTCTCCGATATTCCTTAGACAGGGTGCTTTCTAAACAGGTTTGGGATAGGGTGTCTACATCTTAGCTGTACATTGAGTGTGCAACAATTATTAGGCAACTTTACGAATGATATCTTTGAGGCTGGAATTAGAAAAATGAAGCGAGCCTATCACTTCAATGGAA